GTACTTAAATGTTGGGAGAGAGCGATGGCTGCATAAAATAAGCTGCAGTAAGAAGAAGAAGAAAGATGAAGGAAGAGGCAGTAGCTTCACTTGTTCTTGTCCACCTAGGGCTGCATATGGCCGTGTCTTCCAGGCCTGAGGCTCTTTACAGGAGGACTACGACGCAGGGCAGAGTGGAACCTGCCATGATCTCAAGTCAAAGCTCACTTCCAGCTTAGCCCATGACCCTGGACCTGCCAGTCTCCCAGATCTTCAACTTCTTGAACACAAACTGAAAAGATGATGCTAAATCTCCTTTCCATCCTGGTGCCTCTATTTATGAGAAACTGCAGATGTGCACTTTATTATGGTTGTATAAATAGTTGAGGGGAAAAACACGTGATAGACAGAAGGAATAGACAGGCTGCACTAGTGAGAAGACCAAGAAACAGAAATGCCAAAGAACAGCACCACTCTCCCTTCAACGTGGGAACGCAGAGGGTTCTTAAACAGAAATCAAAGGCCATGGATCACAGTGTTGAAAGGCGTTTCCTAAGTGAAAGTGGTGGAGGAGGTGTGTAAGAACAGCAGGCCCTGGCACAGAAATGTGAGGTCAGGGGGATGGGACAGGGGGTTCTAGGGAGGGGAAATGGGGGAAGGGGATGACATCTGCATTGCAAATAAATAAAATATCCAATAAAAAAAAATTTTTAAAAAAGAAGTGTGAGTTCACATGGTGTGTGTGTGTGTGTGTTCCCAGAGGGGAAGGCACGGAGAAGACAAACATGTTGATACTATATAAAATAAACATCACACTTCCCGTTCTTTATTCTGTAGAGGACAAGCAGTCATCAAGAAGCCATGCCTAGACTGTCAGAGAGCAAGCAGTTGACAAAGAATGGGATGAAGAGTTAGGATTAAAGGCAGGGAGGCCATTTAGCAAGAAGAGGCATCATTACCTCTCTGAAGAGAATAACATTTAGGAAAACAGAGAGATGGAATAGATCCCAACAAAACTTAGAGGACAAAAGTAGTCACACACACACACACACACACACACACACCTATAAAATAAATAAATGTAAAAAACCATATAGGTGGAGAACAACCGAAGAAGATATCCAGTGTTAATCTCTGGCCTCCACACACATGCATACACATATGCACACATACATGAATATGTGTACTACACACAGAAAAAGATCTGTGTACTTAAATGTTGGGAGAGAGCGATGGCTGCATAAAATAAGCTGCACGAAGGAAGAGGCAGTAGCTTCACTTGTTCTTGTCCACCTAGGGCTGCATATGGCCGTGTCTACTACAAAAGTAGTGTGTGAACAAGGACTGAGGTGACAGGGGTCCTGCCTACAACTGGGGTGACTCGTATACAAGACTGCAGGAGACGCCTGTCTCAAATACCAACATTCCACTTTGGACAAGTTGGTTTGGGACATCTAAACAAACACAATCAGATGTGCAAACCTAAAGGCCAAAGAAGAGTGGAGGAGCTTAAGGAGAGCCCTCAAGTCCCCAGCATACAGAGGGCATCAAGACTACAAGTGTGAAGGAGAAAACACAAGGAGATTCACAGGATAGTGGCAAGCTCAAGGAAGACCAATGTCCAAACAGTGAGCTGACCCACAGAGACCCATGGGACAGCCTGGGGGAACCAAAGAGAACACACAGTTCTCTGTGAACAAAACCAGGGAAAGGAAGCAAGTGGCCAACCACGTTCAAGACAGCACACAAGAGTCCAGCAAGACAGAGCCTACAGTTCCCTTTAGTCCAACTACTCCCAGAAGGGCCCACCATTCTTTAGCCATTTAGCAACAATGGCTAAAAGCAGTGTAACAGCCACACACAGGACTCAGTACACAGCATCATTAAAAGGGATGGAGAAAACTGACTGGCTGGCTAGGAAGACAGGGCTTTTCCTCACCACACATATACAAATACTCAAGAACTGAAATTTAAATTAAAAAATAATAGGCACAAAGTAATTAGAATAGAAAAAAAGCTAGAAATATAGTACCCTGGTAGAACACTTGCTTAGCATATACAAGGCCCTACGTTCAATCCCCAGTACCAAAGAGAGAGAGGAGTATTTAGTTATAGTTGTGGCAAAAAATACATTTGTAAGCAGGACCAGCAATTAGTACTCCAAAGGAAAAGCCGGGAATCTATGACAGAAACATGACTTCTGTAAACAACATCATAAGGGCTGGAGCGGTGGTTCACCAGGTAAAAAGCCCCCGGTGCTAAGCATGCCCACCAGAGTTCAGTCTCCAGGACCATACGGTTGGCGGGGGGAAGTGACTCCTGCAAGTTGTCCTCTGACTTCCATGTGTGTCCCGTAATGAGCAATTCCATCCCCATGTACACAGATTCAGGCAAACACAAATGAAGGGAGCAGTATTTCTACCTTTGGGGATGGAGATGGCTCAGTGGGTAAGAGCATTTGCTGCTTAAGCCTGACATCTGAATTTGACCTCCTACAACCCACAGAGAAAGCAGTCCACAGCTGGCCATCTGTAACCCCAGTGCTGTGCAGGGCAGAGACTGGATGCCAGACTAGCTCTAAGTTCAATGAGAGATGCTGGCTCAAGAGGACATATACAACAAAAACAGGTAAAAGATGCAATTCTTGAAAGGACCATGTAAATGGTAGATAAGTAAAAAGATGAGGATATAACAAGGTGGTAGAATGCTTGCCAGGCAAGCCCAAGGCTCAGGGTCTGATCTCCAGCAACACAAAAATATTTTTAAAGAGATGCTAGACATACAGAGAGAAGTAACTTAAAGGTTGGCATCATCCAATGCTGACAATGATGTGATGAGTTAGCTTTCTAAGACACTCTTGATTAAAGTAAAATTAACACAAATTCCTGAAAAGTAAAGGGGTTGCCGGGCTCATACCTGTGACTCCAGCGCTTGAGAGGCCGAGGCAGGATTGCCACAAATCTGAGACCAATTTAGACTATACTGTGAAAGTCGTTTCAACACCACAAAAAAATCAGGTAATTATTCTATATGTGTGTATGGCTGCATGTGTTCACGTGTATGTAGGTATGTGGGGAGCATGTGGAGCCTATCAGGTATATTCTGAAATCACTCACCACCTTACATTTTCAAGATGGGTATGTAATTCAGCTAGACTGGCTGGCTGGCAAGCCCCAGCACTCCTCCCGTCTCTGCTGCCTTGCCCTGGAATTTTAAATGCTAGCCTTTGCCCATGGCTTCTTATGTGGGGGTGCTATGGATTCAAACCCAGGTCCATACTTAACCAACTGAGCTACCTCACTATCCTGTAATTGGACAATTATTTTTGTTAAAAATGTAAAAGGCACAGAAATACACAGATGCATATGCACAGACCTAGCAAAGATGGAAAAGCAGGAGAAACTGTAATGGTTTAAAGTCCACTTGTGGGAACTCCTGAATAAATGGTGGTAGGTAGATCTACAGATTGCTGTACAGCTGTCAAAAAAGAGAAACCAGATTTACACCACACAGGACCCAGAAAGATGCTCCCAACATATTAAAGTGGAAAGAAAAGCAAGCTATGGAGCAATTTTATTTCTAGAAAGTCAATGGAGTAGATGTGTATACGTGCACGTGTATATTCATTTATTCAACAAATATTTATTGATTAATACTAGACATCTCCCAGGGTCCTGAAGTTCATGGAATTCCTTCTGATAGGACAGTCAGACAATAAACAAGTAAACATGGAGGGCTTTTCAGTTAGTAGTAAACACGAAGAATATTAACGTGCCTGGAGAGACAGCTCAGCAGGTTAAAGTGGTTGAGTGCAAGGGCGGTAACTACCAGGAACACAAGTAAAAGCCAGATTTGATGGCAGGCACCTGTAATCCCAGCACTGCCGTACAGAGCGGGGAAATGGACACAGGAGAACTGTCTGTAAGTTAATGGGCCAGCCAGCCTGGAGTTCACAGTAGGGCAGAAACAAAAGGATCCTGCCTCAAAACAAGGCGCAAGGAGAGAATCAACTCTCAAAAGTTGTCCTCTGACCTCCACAAGTGCACCAAGACAGATACATATCTACACACATACACATAATCATACATATACATATCAATAACAAAAAAAAGCTGCACATCAAGTAACACTATTAAAAACAACACTGAAAGAGCAGTAGGTTAGTAAGTAAAACGTGAGCCAGGCAGTGGTGGTGCATGCCTTTGATCCAGCACTAGGGAGGCAGGCCGAGGCAGGGCTACGAAGGGAAAACCTGTCTTGAAAAACCAAACAGGAAAAAAAGAAAACCATGTTTGGGTTTTATCTCCTTTGCCTCTGATGGCCTGCCACACTGTGTATAGCACACCCCTAGAAATGCTTCAACTTCTCACAGTCCTTCCCCAGATCAGACTAGCGTCTGGGGTACTTGGTCTTCATCGCATTCAGGTTTGTGCCAGACATATGACATCTGGTGCACTTGCTGAGCCTTAATGCTGAAGCTATAAGACATTACTGCTAAAGCCATCACAATGGGGCCAACGGGAAGAAGAGTGATGACAAACAGCCGGAGTCCCAAGTACCAAAGGGTAATGTGACTGTTACAGAGCCAACTGATTCAAAGGTGGAAGCATTACAACTACCTTATCCTAGATGCCTGCCACCTCCGTGTGTGTGTGTGTGTGTGTGTGTGTGTGTATCCATGGCTGGGCCAGCACCACCAACGAGACTGTCACTGGCATGCTGGCATGGCGTATCTCTGCCAAGGTATGCGTGGAGAGCAGCAAAGGAGCTAACCTGTGGAAAGCAGGAGACGTGATGCTGGCTGTTGATACTGTCATTGCACATCCAAGTCTAAACCTGTGGTAATCCTAAAGAAACTGGTCAAGCTGCCAGTGTCTGCAAATGGAGACAAACTGGCAGCAGCATTTTTGATGCAATGAAAAAAGGTTGGAAGAAAAGGTGTCATCACATCACAGTTCAGGGAGGAGAAAACTGAACACAAACTGGAAACTCCTGAAAGCATCCAGTTTGATCAAAGGTAAATTCTCTATACTCTAGTCATACATCAAGAGGTCAAAATGTGGGTTTCAGAACAACTATGCTCCACTGACTGAAAACAAATTTTCTAGCATCCAGCCTACTGTCCCTCTGCTTACCAGAGACTCATGGGCATGCTCACTGAAGATGCTATGGAAAGGCTTTACATGTGCCAAAAGTTGGTCCCCAGGTTGTAGCAGGCTCAGTTCTGGCTTTTAGTAACAGCTGAAAGATCAGCTTTAGGACACGACTACTGCAGCGCCATGTTTAAAGAGGAGGAGCTGCCCTTAGGGCTTAGGAAAGCTGTAAAAGGAAGGATGCAGTACCGCTCCTCTGTAATCTCACCACGTCAGAATGGGGGTGTAAAGACAAAGGATCCCCTGGAAGCCAGTTTGTACGAAGTACAGCAGCAGAAACAAGAGAAACCACCTCAAAAATAGGTGAAAGCGGAGACCTGGCTCCTGAGAAGTTGGCCTCTTGATTGTCACCTGCGCTGTGGTGCACGTATCTGCACTCACATACACACAAACACATATACAAAATCTTTATAAAAAAGAAAATCTAGAAAGGCCATTGACCCAAAAAGTATTAACATACTTTTGAAATGAGAAGGTAACAAAGTTCATTGGAAAAAAAAAATCCAAGAAATCACTGAGCATTTAGGTCTCACAATATGTGTATCTAAAGGCAAAACAGCAGCTGGCGGGGCTTTCAGACAGCTGGCTGCGCTGGAGGTGGACATGGGACATGAACTGAAGGAAAGGACAGCGGGAGATGCCCGCAGTGCTACAGGAAAAGGCAGTTTGGACGCTGGGAGGTGCTGCACTCTGCTTTGGTGCATTCCTACCCTGCCGATGCTAAGGCCCACTGATGAAGACTGAAGATACTGCACAGAAATTAGAATACTCAAAATCCCCGAAATGGCCTTATAAAGAATGCAGATATGGAAGAACTCTGGATCCGTGGTGCTATGCTTGGAGATTTTGTGAACAAAACAGAAAGAGAAATCATGGACCCAATGATGGTGTAGAAAGACACTTTACTGAACGTAGCTGGGAAGACTTAACAACAGCAGAGTCTTAAAAAAAAAAAAAGAGGAGGACCCTAGAGCAGGGACAAGGAATGTCATAGGAGGTAGAATGGGTGGTGACATGGGAGGGGGCACATTCTAAATTCTAGAATCATAGTTCACCTTTTTTTTTGTTCAGACAGGGTTTTTCTGTATAGTCCTGGCTGTCCTGGAACTCTCCCTGTAAACCAGCCTGGCTTAAAACTTAGAGAACCACCTGCCTCTCTGCCTCCTGAGTGCTGGGATTGTGTGAGCCACCACCAACCACCATAATTCACCATTTTTAATGAATTGAGACAGGAAGCTCAAAGCAAGGTTCTTCAGCAATGACTTCAGAGAAGTCAGCTGAAGACAATGACTGATGGAAAGGCTGGCAGATGCCCAAGGAAATCACAACCACAGATGAAGTCAAGGGAGCCTGAAGCAGAAAGGAAGAATAACTATGTGTAAAGGTTGTTACAATTTCATGGCAACCTTTATAGAACAAAAATTGGTGTAACATTTTTTTAAAGGGCTCTTAGGATGACAGGAAGTTTGTTTAACATGCACAAAGTCCCAGGTTCAATCCTGGGGTGGGGGTGGGGGATCATCTGGGCCAATGACATGACTTAGCAGGTCAAGGCTGGAGAGCCAAGCCAGAAGAGCTACGTCCAGTCTCTGGGATCCACAGAGTAGAAGGAGAGAACTACCCCCGCAAGATGTCAGCTGAGCTCCATTTGCATTAGAACTACCCCTGCAATAGTCCTTGGATCTCCATTTGCGGTATCAGTCCCCACCCACCCCACCCCACCAATAAATAAACACAATACACATTTAAAGTAACAATGGAGATCTGGACAATATGCGCACATTTAGAAAAGTAGAATGCACCCGGGACACACCCAAAAGTAGGGAAGGGACAACAGAAAAGAAATTTCTTGGTATCTTTTTGTTTTCAACTGCAAAACCATAGGCAATTTTGTTTTGTTTTTCTTCCTTCTGGTTGATTTCTTTGTCTAGCCTTAGGAGAATCAGTGCTCCTGATATGCTCCTCCCTGTCAACATCCTTTTCTCTTTACCCAACAAGAGAAAATAGGACTCAACAACATATTTGAACTCAGGTGTCACCAAACAGAACATCAAGTATCTGCTAGGAGGCGGCACAGAATCACAACCTGCCTGTTGAGCTCCAGGCCTGCTTCTCTATGACTCAGGACTGAACTGACTACACTGCTTTCAGTTCCCAGCAGCTACATTAATTCCACCCAACTGCTGTGTGGAACAGGAGAGCTGTTTCATGGGTGCTCGAGGCTCTGAGATCACATTTGTCCTGCAGTGAGCAAATGGCCTGGGATAGGAGGAAAAGGTAGCAAGTGAAGAAGCTGATGCCTGGTGGCCTCATCCAGGCAGAAGAGAGGGGTCACTGATAAGCAAACTTCTGGGAAGTTGAAGAGGAAAGAGTAATCACAGGAAACCTGAGCTTTGGAGCAAGAAGGGCAGAGGAGAGCTCAGCAGCAGAGCACTTGCCCAGTGCACGCAAGGCCCTAGGTGCAATCCCAAGTACAATAAAAAATACATTAATTAACGTAATAAACTCTGGGAATTCTTTGCCAGTAAACTAGAGGCAAGAGCACATACCCTAAACTAGAGCTAATCAATAATGCCCCTAACTGTCCGGAAGTGACCAGCTGTCTGTTACTGACAATTCTGATGAAGCTCACCCTGGAAATGTAAAAATAACCCAACGAGTACAGAACCTTACAGAGTTCAGAGCAAAAGACGTCATGAAGACTCAGTCATTAGCCCCATTACTTGGCAAAGCGACAGTATTTTCCTAAAAACGTTGTGGTGACCCTGTCACACCTGATGACACCCCAGCCCCACTCTGCACACCCACCTTCAGCAGCTCCACAGCCACCAGCACCTCCTCCGCTGGAACTTTGTTATCCCCCAGCATGTTAGAAAGAGTCCACTTGAGGGGCTTCAGCAGGAAGACTCCAACCCCCCAGGAGATCCAGCTGCTGTCCACACTGGCCATGAAGTCTGATTCTCGCTGAAGCTCACCTCGACTACAGAGAGAGAGAAAGGCATGTAGGGATGTGTAATGCGACAGCCTGTCCCTACTTACCCCTTTACCCACAGAGGCATTATTTCATCACCATCTATTCTGTACCAGCTACTAGCATCAGTGTCACCTGCTCAGCCTCCTAACCACTTTGCACAATAGACGGTATCACCAGCATGTTAACTAACGAGGAGACTGAGGATCTAAGAAGGCAAGGAAGGCCAGATGGCACCCAATTTGTCTGGCCTCAAAAAATGCAAGTGTCCCACTAAGACAACAGAAGCACAAAAGGCTTCACTGGGCCTATGTGGAGGTTTTCTTCTATCAACAGGCCTGGGAACGATCAAATGAAAAAACCCTGTGCATTATGCAGACCCGAGGAAGAAGGCCAAAAGCTACACAGATGGGGGTTTTATGCTATCTCTAAGCTAGGCTGGAAGTGAGATGTATTTCCTGGTGGAAGTAACAACAGCAGCCAAGTCTACTAAATGCCTGCCATGGACAATTACTGTTAAGGGCTGTATAAAGATCCTCAGGTTTTCACAATCGACCTATATAATGTCACTATGATTTGATAATTGGTCAAACTAAGGCTTAGAGGTGGCACCTGTATCCTATGCAAGCCACAGTTTAGAAAATAAAAAAGTCAGGATCTGGGCAAAACTGCGTGGCCCTTGAGCAAAGCTGTAGATGTGCAGATATCAAATCTGGACAGTTATCAGGATGTTTCAAAGATAAGGAGCCAGAGGTGGTCGCAGTGTTGAAGGTCTCTGGATCTGAACATGCTCCATGACTGGCCTATATCAGGAGGCTCATTTTGGTTTTGTCCCTTGCTGACTTGACTGTTTTCCACCTCGGGTATCAGGTAAAGAGTTTTCCACAGCACATTTTCTCAGAGGAGAATTTCAGGAAGGTTTCTTAGGTCAAGGACAGGCAATGAAAGGTATTGGGAACAGAAGTAGAGAAGGGTGACCATTTAATGAGAAAGCGTTACTCTAAAACAAACACAAGACCCTTGGCTTTCTCTTTATTCACAGAATGAGACATGGTGCTAGGCTAGGCTGGGCAGGGCATAATACGGACAGCGTGAAATACAAATGATTTTGAATTGAAAGGAGGGATCCAGTCCTGGGCTTACTCTACCTGTGTAACCTGGAATAGGTTACTTGATCTGAGATTCTGTTTATTTTTAATGAGGGTAACTGTATTAGCTTGCCCTAGATTATTAAAAAAGGCCAGAGAATGGAGTTTGACAGTATCTGAAACCATGAACTATCAGTCATCTATTAGATATGTCACCTCTTCAAGCATGAAGACCGAACACTGTACCCGTCATACACACTTATCGCCTTTCAGAGGTCCCCAGCTTCACTGCTAAACTCTCCTCTTTGGTCCAAATGATCTTAGTCCTGGACATACCCTGAAAGGCTACTTGTACGACCTGTACCAGAGTTCCCTTGTCAAGTTGTCTATAATCCCACGAGTACTCTCTCCTTAGCTGTTCTTCCTTAGTTCAAAGTACCCATCTCAGAGATCTGCTGTAGAGGCAATTCAAATCTGGAGGTCCTGTTGAAATAACTACAGAACGGGATTCCCGCGGACACCTCTGCAAGGATGGATTCTGACTATCCCAGTCACTCCAACCACCCCAGCCCCTCTTTCTCTCTAAGTTCAGACATCCATCCGTGGAGCAGCCTCTTCGTCCTCCTCCTCCTCCACCCACTGAACAAACCCTGGACGCCGAGTCTGGGCTGTCAAAGGGCAGGTCTGATGTCAGCCCTAGGGAGCCGCCCCCCGCCTGGCCCGCTCGGCCTCGGTCCTCACCGCAGCAGGTCCTGCAGCACCGTAGCCAGCCCCAGCGGGACACTGCCCTTGCGCTGGAAGGCCTCCTGCAAGTCCCGCAGTCGCAGGCGCACCACCCCTTGGCGGCGGCTGTGGCTCAGCACCAACGGAGCCCAGAAGCCCATCTTGCTGTCCCAGTCGGTGCTGTTCACCTCGCGACTCCTCTTAAAGGCGGAGAACAGAAACGACATGCGCTCCTCATCCTCCTCCCACTCGGGCGGCAGGAGGCCCGCCGGGTCTCCCCCGGTCGGGGCCTGGGCCTCCCGCTCCGGGGACCACATCGGAACCCCAGCCCCGCCAAGGAACCGAACACAAGCCTGGCCCGGGTCCCCTTCCGCCCCAGGTCCCTCTCGGCTTCCGTCGTTCCTTCACGCCCTCCTCCTCAGCCATCACGTCACCGCCGCCGCCAGTGCGATAAAAGTCCCGCAAGTCTTCAGGGCGCAGGCGTAGCGCTGCTTTCATTTGGCCAGGGGAGGGAGAGGAGGGCGTTCTCTCCCGAGAGAGGCAGAACGCAGGCGCCGGACCTTCTTTCCGTGGCCTTTGTGCGACGGGAAGGGTTTTGCGCGTGCGCCGCAACCATAGAGTTTGGCGAAGCACACTAGAGAGGCTATCAAATTGCACCTTCCCAGGGTGGTCTGGGCTTAACGTTAGCCAGATTGGAGCTACGGGAGCTGCAGGTGGAACTCAAACCTTGGACCTGGTTTAGCGCTCCTAACCTAGAGACTTTTAAATTAAACAAACGTCCAAGATACCTGCCTTTCACTAGAATATCAGCCGATAACAAAAATGGTCCGAAAAGCTCCGTAACATTTTTTAGGGCTACAGACAGGCTTTCTTATCACTTTCTTTCTGCTCTGGGGTGCCCTTTTTCTCTTGAAAATTCATATTCTGCCAGGTCCTTTTAAAAGCCAGTATCTTTCCAACTCTCATCTGAAGCTCCAGCTGCCCTGGCTGCCAGTTGAGCATCTGTCTCCGACCCTTCTGCTTCCTCGAAGGAGGGGGCAGACAGCGATGCAAGTGTCTTGTAATGACAGCGCTACTGCAGAAAATACTTTATGGACTGAAAGGTACTTAAACCTTACTCTTTAATAACTTTTCAGTCTTGAAGAGTCTCACAAAATCTGTTCAGTGCTGAGAATAAATTGTGGTGGTGGTAGTGTTACAGCCGTACCGGTCTCACTCAAAAGGAGACTGGGACGAGCTCTTTATGAATTTGAAGTTTACACAGACCCGGCCGAGGGCACGCACTCTTGTAACTACAAGTCTAGAGAGACGGCCCTGACCGTTAATGACAGGTTTATAAAGGGCAAAACCACTGGTTCCGTACTTCCGTTAACGCGGTCGCTTTTGGCAATCATGACAGGACTTTTAATATAAACTTTTAACAAAAATGAGACACAGGTATAGTACCATGGATTCTCTGTTTGATCGGGGAGCAGAAACCCTTCGGGTTACAGAAGCAGAACAGTGTAGGTTAGTAATGGTTCCCATAAATACCGTGTATTTAAGAATGTTTTGCTTCCTTCTGTGCAAGTGCACTGCGTACGTGCAGTGCCCACAGAGGCCAGAAGAGGGAGTCGGATCCCCGGAATTGTAGAATTGCAGTTTTAGTTGAGCTCTGCCCTAGAATTGATGATTAACTACAGATCCAGCCTGGAAATATACTGATTTTAAAAAGACACATCAAGCAAGCAAACAGACAATCTAAAGAGTGAAAAAAAACCTGTTGATTTAAAAGGTAAAAAGTAAAGCGAAAATTAGTTTTGGCTTAGGGAAAAGTAATTTCTGTTAAATAATCGCCTTTATACACTAGTATTTCCTAAAGGGTTGTCTGAAGGAAATGTGATGAGTTTCCGGGTTCAGAGTAATTGAAAAAGTGTTAAGGTAAATTTTCATGAGCACTGAGTTTTAATGAATTTTAATAAGCATTTTGAAGGAGAAAAAGGGTTGTTTAGTTATATGATGTGTGTACCAATTGATATCTATGTCTCAAAGTGTGTTCAAAATATCTCACTTAATGATCTTTTTCAAATGCTTTCGCTATAGTTCTCATAGTTTGTAAGGTAAGTTTTCCCACTTTACCTGTTTTTACAGGAGAGGAAGCTGAATCAGGTGGAGATGAGAGCCAGAGAGGAGAGAGGGAGAGAAGTGGAGAGGAGAGAGAAGGAAGGAAAAGTCAGGGAAGAGAGGGAGGGAGAGAGCTGAGCTACAAATATTAAATCTAGTAAAACAAATCTGTACCGTGCTACCTGTCAGGCCCAGTAAATCAGCTGTGTACCAAAAGAAACTAAGTTTTCTCAAACCAGCTAAGGAGTGAACTAATTACAGGAGAGAAAAATGCTGTATCTGGGGCTGCTTACATCTGAAATTTCCACTTCATTTGACCCTTCCAGGCAGTACGGCTGGCTTTCACCTTCTGGAGGCTGAAGAGATACCTGGGAGCAGAATCTGTGAAGCCAGGGACTATGGGTACAAGTCTCTAAAACTGACCTTTAAGACATGATTCTGCCATGAGACTGAAGAACACAGTCTCAATCTGCTCTGGAGGGGATATTTATTTGCTGACGTTATAGACATTAGATATATCCGATTCCACAGACATCCCAAGGCTTCACACATTTTCACTCTGCTTTAAGAATGTTCCAGGTCATTGCTCCCTCTTGTCAGGAGTCCTCTTCATTTCCATAGAAATATTCAAGCCCTCCAGTTTTGTCCACTTATTTCTAATACTAGTACCTAAGTCAGGATTCACAGCCTTTAGGGTTACACAAATGAAAAAGTGAGAATTAAAACATTCACTGCCTATGGGATTTATAGAGACCCCAGACTTCTTATGCAGGTGCCAGCATAAAATTCTGGAAGCTTTCCTACCTTTGTTTTGTTCTAGCATCTCCTGTTCTTCTTGTTCTGTGTTTCTCATTCTATAACCTTTAATACCTCTTTATTGTGTATTAAGTGCCACACCACTCTCTAAATTTCTGACAATGTGTGTCTCTCTTGCTAGCTTATGTGCCTTTGCTAACATGGACTGTGATTTTAATCATATTTGTTTCTAGCAGAGTGCTAAGCACATCCTAGGGATCGTTTGTGGAATGGATAGATGGATGAATTTTTTTTTTAGTTTTCATTAAAATTTCTTCTTTATTGTAACCAATATATATACATACATATACATACACACACACACACACACACACACACATATATATATACATATATATATATGTATATATATATATATAGGCATTTTTTATTTTTTTACTTTTTTTAAAATGTTAATCAAAGGCCTTATAAGTTTGGTAATGCTCAATAACAAGATGCCCATACAATCAGAAGTGTAATCCAATACCCAGCCTAGATATACCAACTACCTTTGACTGGCAGAGACACTCGAACACCCGCCTCCATGTTCCCCCCCTCATCTCCTAGCTCCTCCTCTGCTTCTCCTCCTCCTCTCTTTACTCCTCCCTCCTTAGCTCCTCCTACATATCACCCTTCCTGTTAAAATAAAAAAAAAACTTTTTTCTGAAAATACAATTAGAGCATAACTATAGCAATTTGTATCAGTAAGGTACAAGATAGACCTAATACCCAGTCCATCATTTTGTTGACTAACCAGAACCTCTGTCATCTCTCCTAACTAAAAGACTTAGTTCTGAACCTGGCTTTTTTCTTGGCTTTAGAATTAATGTCAGCTGAAAATCATCCTCTCAAATCTTTTCTCTCAAAATAAATAGCCGGGGTTGGCTAAGAGACTATAAGTCTTCAACTCCGTCAGAAATCCAGAATGACTGAATTAACTGAAATTATGGGAAGCACAAAGCATAGCTTCTAAAACTTAGCCAGTTTATAGAGACTGCTGAACACCTGGACAGTCCCTATACTACAAAACATTGGAGCATCCGATCTTCAGCCTTCTGGCCCAGGATCATCTGACAGACCTAGTAATGCAGAATTATTAAGGGCTGATTACTCTGTCTTGGCAGATATAATAAGTTGGCTATTCTGCAAATGTGTTCTTTTCTGGACAGTAGTTTGTCTGTAGATGAATAGAGGCAATTCTTGCCTAGTGGCTGTCTCACCACAACTGGAGTAACTCCAAAGATGCTCAATTTCTTCTTAGAATCCAAGACAGAAAGCTGTCAGGAGCAGACAGGTCTCTAATCAAAATGAACATTAATACAGAAATGTTTGTAACGTCAATTCTGTGGACTTCTGACGTTTTGAAAACCAACTATCCATGTAAGGCAATCTGGACTGTTGTCTGTTAACTCCTCTCAGCTATTTCTAAATAAAATATAGAAAACACCTAACAATAAACTCAGAGCCATGAATTTGCTATAGGCCCTTAACTCACAGGCTAACCATCTCAAATCAGTTAAAAAAGTTAAAGAAGGATTGAGTCTAAGCCTTGTATTCCTAAATGTGTTATATAGGCAGAATGCCTATGAGAGTAACAATATTAATCTCACTTTTATATCAATAACTCATACCAATGAAAACCTTAAATTTGAAATCAAAGTAAATTTTGTACCATTTAAGAAATTATAACTTCAGCTTAATAACAATTATACAGATTTCTACCAATAGATTATGGCTATGCAATAAATCCTAGCTATTCCTCCCTGTTCCAACAAAACCACTACTTTTCCCTAGAAAGACAACCCAGTATTAACCACCTCAGTCTCCAAGCCCAGGGAATAGGGGCGCCGACTCTTCATTAACTTCTTCAAGCTAATTATGGGCATTGAGATATTAGAAGGGGGCGGAGGGAAGAGTAAATTGATAAGCCGTTGACATCTGTGTCTTCACTGCATCCAGCTGAGATTCTAGGACATCAGAGGTTTGAGCAGGTCTCCTCAGCTTGCTTGATAAGTAGATACACCAAGGCTGTGTATTCTGCAATATACAATTCTCAAAACAAATTTTAGTATTAAGGTAATTTTTTGTTTGAATTCTGGAATCTAGTCTTCTGGCGGCCTGCCTCTGTCATGTCTAATCCATATAATTCTGGGAGTTTCTATGAGGGTGTGCTCCCACCATCCTCCCATTCCTGCCTCCCTGCTCTCAAATTCCCCAACACTAGGGAATCCAAACTTTTAGGCACCAAGGCCCTCCGCTTCCACTAATGCCTGACAAGGCCACCCTCAACTACCTATACAGGTGGAGCCATGTGTCCCTCCCTTTGTGTTCTCGGGCTAGAGATTTTAAAATTGCTACTCCAGCTTGTTTCTTAGGACCATTTGCTTGAAAAATTGTTTTCCAGCCTTTTACTCTAAGGTAGTGTCTGTCTTTTGTCACTGAGGTGGGTTTCCTGTATGCAGCAAAATGCTAGGTCCTGTTTAAGTATCCAGTCGGTTAGCCTATGCCTTTTTATTGGGGAATTGCGTCCATTGATGTTAAGAGATATTAAGGAACAGTGATTGTTGCTTCCTGTTATTTTTGTTATTAGAAGTAGAATTATCTTTGTGTGGCTATCTTCTTTTTGATTTGTTGGAAGAGGATTACTTTCTTGCTCCTTCTAGGGTATAATTTCCCTCCTTGTATTGGAGCTTTCCTACTATTATCCTTTGTAATGCTGGGTTTGTGGAAAGATATTGTGTAAATTTGGTTTTGTCGTGGAATATCTTGGTTTCTCCATCTATGGTAATTGAGAGTTTTGCTGGGTATAGTAGCCTGGGCTGCATTTGTGTTCTCTTAGGGTCTGTATGACATCTGTCCAGGATCTTCTTGCTTTTATAGTATCTGGTGAGAAGTCTGGTGTAATTCTGATAGGTCTGCCTTTATATGTTACTTGGCCTTTTTCCCCTTACTGCACTTAATATTCTTTCTTTGTTTTGTGCGTTTGGTGTTTTGATTATTATGTGACGGGAGGTATTTCTTTTCTGGTCTAGTCTATTTGGCGTTTTGCAGGCTTCTTGTATGTTTATGGGCATCTCGTTCTTTAGGTTAGGGAAGTTTTCTTCTATTATTTTGTTAAAGATATTTATTGGCCCTTTAAGTTGAGAATCTTCACTCTCATCTATACCTATTATCCGTAGGTTTGGTCTTCTCATTGTGTCCTGGATTTCCTGGATGTTTCGTGTTAAGAACTTTTTGCATTTTGCGTTTTCTTTGACAGCTGTGTCAATATTTTCTATGGTATCGTCTGCACCTGAGATTCTCTCTTCTATCTCTTGTATTCTGTTGGTGATGCTTGCATCTATGACTCCTGATTTCTTTCCTAGATTTTCTATCTCCAGGGTAGTCTCCCTTTGTGATTTCTTTATTGTTTCTACTTCCATTTTTTATGTCCTGGATGGTTTTGTTCATTTCCTTCACCTGTTTGGTTGTGTTCTCTTGTAATTCTTTAAGGGATTTTTGTGTTTCCTCTTTAAGGGCTTCTACTTGTTTACCTGTGTTCTCTTCAAATTCTTTGAGAGTGTTATTTATGTCCTTCTTAAAGTCCTCTATCATCATCATTAGAAGTGATTTTAAATCTGAATCTTGCTTTCCTGGTGATATGGGGAATTCAGGACTTTCTAGTGTGGGAGAACTAGGTTCTAATGATGTCAAGTACCCTGGGTTGCTGATGCTTATATTCTTGCACTTGCCTTTCGCCATCTGGATCTCCTTAGTGCTACCAGCCCTGTCTCTGACTGGAGTCTGTCTTTCCTATTAGCTTGGTTATGTCAGAACTGTGTGGGGTCAGTGTTACTACTGGGGTTAGAGCTTGGGCCCAAGATCTGCTCAGTGCTCGGGTGCAGGCAGGAAGGAACCAGTGCTCTGGGCCAAGAGTGAATTCCTGGGTCCCAGTGGGTCCCAGTGACTCCCTGTTTGGGGTGGGTGTTGCTGTCTCCTTACCTAAGATACTGCCCAGGTTAGAGCTCCTGGGAGGCCTGCTTCCTCTGGGTTTTGTGAGATTGGGTGCAGAGCTGCCACCCTGGATCTGCTCAGTACTCGGGCCCAGACTGGAAGGCCGGATGAATTTAATTAAACATTTGATTTAAAAAAATCTATGAAAGCCTATAATTTATAGCATAAGAATATTTACTTAGGAATAATATTTATATTAGGTATAATATTAGGTAAAATACAACTGTATTTTTATTTACATGAATGTATTATTTCTTTCTTAGCTATTTTGAACTCAAAAGCTTCTAAATTAAATTCTCTTAATGTTTGGACAGTTAGAAAAAGCTTGGAAGAAATTGTCTGCTTCTTTTTCGCTGTGTCCAAACCATTATCACTGTCTATCCACTCATAACCCTGACTTTCTAGAACGGCACAGAAGACATTTGGCTGTCCAGTTTACCCACTTAAAATCTCGGTATGGGGCTGGGAAGGTGACCTGGTGGGCAAAAGCATTTGCCACAAAAGCAGTAGGACTTGAGTTCAAATTCCTACATAAAGCCAGGCAGCTATCTCAAACAAGGTTGTCCTCTGGCCTCCACACTTACACTGTGGCATGCTGTGCCCAAGTAGACAAGTACACACTCATACATACACACACACACACACACACAGTCACTCACAATTTAAAATAATTTATTATTGATAAGTTTAACAATAAAAGATCGATATCTTCCTTCTTCCTCATCTCCTTCAAGTCATTCTTTAGTGTAAGGGACTTAGAAGCCATCACTTCATCTTAATAATTTAAAAACTAAACAACAGTGCTAGAGAGTCAGCTCAGTGGTTAAAAGTACTTGTTGTTCCTGTAGAGGACCTGGAATCAGGCCCCAGCACCCACATGGTGGCTCACAACCACCCATAATTCAAGTTCCATGGGCTCTCTTCTAACCTTCAATGGTACCAGTCATGCAAGTATTGCACATACATACATGCAGGCAAAACACTCAGACACAAAGTAAATCTAAAAAAGAATAAACCAAAACAAGTTTTGTAGGAAATAAGGAGACAGCTCAGTTTGTAAAGTGGGTGCCATGCAAGCATAACAATCTGAGTTTGAGTCCCAGAACCCACATAAAAAACCCAGGTACAGAGGCACAAACTTACAATTTTACCACCACAGAGGCAGAAACATGTAAATCCCCAGGGCTAACTGGTAGTTAGGTGTCTTAGTCAGGGTTTTACTGCTGTGAACAGATATCATGACCAAGGCAACTCTTATAAGAACAGCACTTAATTGAGGCTGGCTTAGGTTCAGAGGTTCAGTCCATTATCATCAAGGCAGAAACATGGTAGTATTCAGGCAGGCATGGTACAGGCAGAGCTGAGAGTTCTACATCTTCATCTGAAGTCTACTAGCAGAATATTCACTTCCAGGCAGCTAGGATGAGGGTCTGAAAGCCACACCCACAGTGACACATCTACTCCAACAAGGCCACACCTATTCCAACAGGGCCACACTTTCTAATAGTGCCACTTCCTGGGCCATGCATATACAAACCATCATATTAGGCAAATTGGTAAGCTCTGAGCTGATGAGAGACCCTGTCTCAAAAAAAAAAAAAAAAAAACCAACCCAAGGTGGATTGCTCCTGAGAAACACCACCACAATTGGCCTCTGACCTCAATACACATGAACACATATGGAATGTCCACACAGCCATATACACACATGTACCCACATGAACACTAACCCACAAGCATACATATACAAAACACCTGCCAATAACAAAAAAAAATCAATTCACAACTTTTCATGGGCATTTTTAGGAAGGAAGCTAAACACTTATGGTGGCTATAGGCCCTGGATCCATTCTGCTTATATTCCTAATGTTCTCTGGGTGTTTTCTATACACAGAGATCGACAGAGAGGTGGGGAAGAATGGAAGAGCCAGAGGATGTGGAGGAGCACTGTGAAATGCTGTCTTCAGGACATGTCAGTTGCACTCATGAACTCTCTGAAGCTGTGGCTCCCTGCACAAATTCAAGTCTGCATTCCAACAGGTAGCATCGATCGGACTCAGCAGGCTATTAGCCAGAAAAGGAGAGGCCATTAAGCAGAAAGGAGAAGGGGAGAAGGGGAAAGGAGTTAGGGTGCACACGATCAAGATGCACTGCTCACATTCAAGAATTGTCAAACACGGAATAAAAGATATTCTATTTTCTTAAAAAGAAAGAGAAATGATTATTTGGAATCACTGTTGGTATATGAGGAAGTATTGGTTCTTTTTCATAAACAATGAATCCTGAGACTCTGTTATTACCCATTATTGGTATCAGTTTTGTATTGACGATGATGCGTCTTGGAGTTTTCTTTGTATGTATATGTGTGCATGTCCATATGTGCACATGTAAAGGCATGAATACATTATGTATGCACATGTATAAGGCTAGAGTCATTCACTGAATGACTTCTTCAACAGCTCTCCACCTCATTTTTTTCCACTTTTCCAGTGAATTTTTATTTGGAGTTTCATCATGATTATCAGGGTCTCTGGGTAGGAACCATCATATTTCTGGGTATATTACTCAGGGTTCTCTATAGAACTTATCGAATGAATACATATACGGTATTTATTAGAATGACTTACAGGCTAATCCAACAATAGGTGGTTATGAACAGAAAGTCCAGTAGTTTCTCAGTCCATGAGGCTGGAAGTCTCAGATGGTCTTCAGTGTGTCCTGGAATCCTGAGGGAACAGGCCCCATGCCAGTGAAAGATGGACTTGCTAGCAAGGCAAGAACAAGCAAAGAACATAAGCCTCCTTTTCCATGTCCTTATATAGGCTTTCAGCAAAAGGCATGGCCCAGCTTAGGTCTGGATTAAAGATCTGAACTAAAGGTGTGTCTTGTTACCTCAAAGATCTGAATTAGAGGTAGATCTTCCTCCTTCAAGTTAAGCAGAAATCCTCCATTTTCATTAATTCCAGATGTAGTCAAGTTGACAATCAAAAATAACCACCACAATTCCACCCCTTGTCAGCTTAACATACAATCTTATCTGCTTATGTCATGTTTCATTTCCAAATGAAAACAATAACCAGGACATAATAATGACTAGACATTTAATTATCCCATGTATAATTGAAAATGCATTATATATTAAACCAGGCCATAACTGCACCTACCATGATGTTAACTAGCCCTTGTACTACCACAAACACATTATAAATTTACAAGAGGTGACAATGTCCCTTAAGGGACATTCTTTTAGTATCTCAAACTTAGATAACCATTGATATTCTCTTAATTGATGTTACACCACATGATAAAGAAATTGAGGAAAGGAAATACAAATATCTGTATAAATACATTCTTAACAATTATTGCACCGGGCGGTGGTGACGCACGCCTTTGATCCTAGCACTTGGTAGGCAGAGGCAGGCGGATTTCTGAGTTCGAGGCCAGCCTGGTCTACAGAGTGAGTTCCAGGACAGCCCGGGCTACACAGAGAAACCCTGTCTCGAAAAACCAAAAAAAAAAAAAATATTGCAGAAGCATTTGTAGAGAAAATATCTTATGTCTGTATGGATGTGGCACCTGTCAATAATAAATATGATGGCCTATGGCAGGAAATAGAAGAAGAAATATCCAGGAGGAGAAAGAATTCTGGGATAGAGCCAGGCAGGAGATTCACCCAGGAAGATGTGAGGAGGCAGACACATGGTACCTGAGCACAGGTAACCAGCTGCGTGGCAAAATTAACTTAGGTTAATTGGGTTACCTAAGTTATGATCTAGTCAGAGAAGAGCCTAGCTATATGATCAAGGTATTTGTAAATATAGTTTGAGCCTGAGTCTTATTTTTGCAAGCATAGTGCTAGGAGGAAGAACCAGACCTCACTTCTACAAACATTCATGTCAATTATAATCCTCTTTTTTGCAACTAGCCACATGGCCTTAGCTGGTATTTATAATCACCTTCTACTACCCAGTCTGTATATCCTCCATCTCAAGCAAGGACCTCAACAGAGTGGTGGCTCTTTTCCTGGAGAAGTGACTCATATCTTCATTCCTGATGAGAATATCTCTGCCCGTTGTCACCCTGCCTGGATTAGGCTGCTGTAGTTTCTCATTGACTTTAATTACAGAACTTGTAGCACCAAGAGACCTCCTTAACGTCTGCACTCTAGATGTAAACTATCTGACCTCCATTGTGGAGCAGCAATCCAATTTCCCCTCGGTAATCTGGATCTATCACTCCTCCTAGCACTGTTACTCCTTTCTTAGCCTGTTGTCTTAACGTCATCAGAAGCCTAAAGTGACCAGGGGGAAATCTGAGCTTCTAGTTCAACGGAATGTTTGTTGTGGCTCCTGGCAGACCTTCTGGTTCTCAGGCTCTTGGGCACCCAGGCACCACTGTGAAAGGGCTGAGAACGAAGTGGGGCCCATGGGCTGGATTGGCCCATGGCCACAGGGGAGACCTGGAGAGAAGCTCAAGCTGCGCCCCGCAGGGATGAGAATTCTTGGCTCATCACAGCAGTTTGGCTTGGCTTGGTGATCGCCATGGCTGGGAACACAGAGAGGTCTTCTGTGGGAGATTCGATGGCAGCTCTGCAGGCAAAGGCCTTCTTCATTGTTCCCCATGGTCGATTCTGATGAAAAGAAACAGTCCATGGTGGGTTTTTTTGTTTTGTTTTGTTTTGTTTTTTCGAGACAGGGTTTCTCTGTATAGCCCTGGCTGTCCTGGAACTCACTCTGTAGACCAGGCTAGCCTCAAACTCAGAAAACCACCTGCCTCTGCCTCCCAAGTGCTGGGATTAAAAGCATGCACCACCATTGCCTGGCATCAGTCTATGGTTTTAGGATGTTTATTGTCATGGCAGAAAGTAGATGAGAAACCATACCCCCTTTTCTCAGGGTGGGTCTGAGGTTAAATACCTTTTGCAGGGAAGAGTGTCTGGGAAGGAATGCTTAATTGGCTAAGCCCTTCTGGCCTTTAGGTACTTCATTAATTTGGAGATCTGTCTTGTGGCTACGTTACTTGTGGTCACACTTTCTACCTATGAAGGGGCTACTAGGGGCATTGCCCTTACATCACTGAAAGACACAAATCTATGGAGGGCTGCAGCCTCGTGACAGGAGCCTGGAGTCTGGGAGCATGGGCAAACTCCTACTGTCCCTTGCAGGGGACCCTTCAGGGTCACCAGGGCTTCAAATCTAGCTTAACCAGAAACCAGGCTGCCTTTTGCAGTTCCACAGAATACTATAACAGTGGATAAAACATTCTATAAGTCTATGGATAGTAGTCTTGGTAGAAGCATTACATGCAGGAAAGGAAAATCCATAACCAGAAAAAGTATCACTCCAGTAAAGACCAAGTATTGCCCTTTATATTGAGGAAGTGGCCCAGTTGCTGGCTGGTCACCCCAGGGAATAGTGCCATATCTGGGGCTCAGTGTTAGTCTTTGCTGTTGGCAGATCTGGCACTCAGCAGCAGCTATAGCCAAGTGAGTCTTGGTGAGTGTATGTCTGCGTTGGAGAGCCCATGTATAACCCCCATCTTTGCCACCATGGTCACTTTGTTCATGGGCCCATTGGGCAATGACAGGAATGGTTGGGGGGAAAGGCTGTCTACAGAATGTACACCATCCTATCTACTTGACGATTGAACTTTTTTGATGAACATTTGCATGGGACATAAGTATCTTTACATCCTTTGCCCATTTGGAGACATCTATCCACATACTTTTCCACCAGATGTCTTTTGCACCAGTTTTCCAATCATGGTTTTTCCAAGTCCCTGACCATCCAGCCAATCCATTGGCTACCACCCATGAATCAATGAACATCTGGCCATTTCTCCTTTAGTACAAAATGCATGGCCATGTGTACTGCCCAAAGTTCTGCCCACTGTGAAACTTTCCTTTCCCCGGTGTCTTTTAGGGTTGTCCCAGAAAGGAGTTGTAATGCTGCAGCTGTCCACTTCTGGGTGTATAGTACATAAAATCGTCAGTAAGCCATCCCTAGTCTTCTCTTCCTCAGTCAGCCAATCACATGGCACATCCATAAGTCTATAGGTGCATGCTTGACAGCAGATAGCATTATAACAAGAGTAGAAATCATGAACATTTGAGAAACTTTTTTGTATAACTTGCTTGTGCCTTCAGGACTTTCTCAAGCCTAACCACATATATACCACTTCCATTTAATAATGAATTGCTACTGTGAACATCCTAATTTATGACTTGGTGAGTCGTATAATCCCCAGCTCATGATGGGCAGCTCAGATTGCATGGTAATTTAGTGGCCCGTTTTCAAACATTCAGTGTCCACTAAGGCCCAATAGCAGACCAAGAGCTGTCTTTTTCAAAGGGAGAATAATTGTCTGCAGATGATGGTAGAGCCTTGCTCCAAAATCCAAAGGGTCCCTTTTGTGATTCACCTATAGGGGCCTGCCAGAGGCTCCAAATAGCATCTCTATCTGCCATTGATTTACTAAACATTGTACTTCTTTCTTGGTAGTTGGAGGGACCAGATGCAATAACTTACCCTTCACCTTGGAAAGAATATCTCTGTATTCCTCAGCACATACTACTGGACTCTTAGGAATTTTAATGAGGTAGATGGCCCTTAAATTTTGGTTGGATTTATTTCCTCTGATGCACATATGTGTTACCAAAAAGTCCAAAGTGGTTCCTACCTACTGCTGTCTTGGCCCAGTCAGCACAATATCATCAATATAATGCACCAATGTGATATTTTGTGAAGAGACAGATGATCAAGATCCCTTCTAAGTTGTGACTGGATTGGAAAGTTAATATATTCTTGAGACAAAACTGTAAAGGTATACTGCTGGCATTGCCAACTGAAAGCAAATTGTTCCTGGTGGTCTTATAAGTAGATGTAGAGAAAAGGGCATTAGTTAGATCAATAGCTACATACCATGTACCAGGAGATGTGTTAATTTGCTCAAGTAAGTTCACCACATCCAGTATTTCACTGAAATCAGAGTCCCTATCTCTGTTTGATTGACTGTTTCACAGTCAACTGTCATTCTCCATGATCCATCTGTCTTCTGCACCGGCCAGATAGAAGGGCTAAAGGGAGATGTGGTGGGAACCCCCACCCCTGCATCTTTCCAGTCCTTGATGGTAGTACTAATTTTTGGAGTTCCTCCATGGATGCAATACTGTTTTGAAGTTACTATTTTCCCTGGCAGAAGCAACTCTA